TGAGCACTGAACTCCATTGTGTTATAAATGGGATTGTGTTTTCACTATAATGAGTTCGTTATTAAACATTAACTATACTGCATCATTATTTAATGTTTTAAATGAACGGTTTTAGTTATTTTAAAAATAATACGCAAATAAATTAGGAAATTAACCATGTCAAATGTAATACAGTGTAACTTCGGCCCACAGCCCTCAATCAAGTTTGCTTTTTTTGGCGCTTTATAAGAAAAAGTTTGGACAACGCTGGTCTAAATTAGTTATCAAAGCCCACAAACTGATTTATTTATTTATTTTTGTCTGTTTAGGCTACCCCTTTTTATACTCTGTTAATTAGTTATAGCATTTATAAACTAAAAGTAATCTAAGAAAATTGTAAGTTACAATTATTATTTATTTATTAAAAAACGAAACATCTTATAATCTGAATGACACTTACCTTGGCAACATTTGCTTATTGGCGTGCTTTTTGGATTCTGCTAATTTAGCAGCTAACGTTAGCACACGTAAACATCTCCAAACATTTTACCAGGTTAATCGTTTTGATTCGTGTCGACATGAAAGAAATCTTCGCCTGTAACGTGTTTTCATTCATTTCTTCCAACGTTCCTTCCAGACACAGAACATATCGTTGTGAAAGAAGTAAAAACTTCAGAGAAGGTTGGTAAGTAATATTTGATACGAACATCATGTGTTATCTTCTTGTTAGTCACTTTTGATTAACTTAACGTAAGTTACCTCGTGGAGTTTTGTCCCCAACTCAGACTTAAGACTTCAATTTTAGTTTTATTTAACTGTAATAATCCTGTCATCTTTTCATTTTTATTTCATCCTTTTTTTAATGAAACGCATAAGGCATCGTTTGCTTGGCGTCCATAATGGTAAATTATAATAATAAAATGAAGTAAACAAACATTTACAATGTGACTTTACAAGCAAAACACTATTTCTGTTTCTGTACTTGACGATATTGTCATTTCTCTTAAGTGATGTTTTCAGAAAAGTAAAATATTATCATGTTAATAACACTAACGTAGACCATTTTGAGGGATGTAACGTTAAACAAAAACAATGGTCCCAACGTATTTCCTATTTTGCATTTTCAATTTCTCTACCCTCCGAGAATTCAAAAAGAGCCATATGTTGATAAATAATGTCATGATAGCTGTTTTAACATCAAGTTACGATTTAATTGCCTCTTGTTAAAGATATGAAATAGTTTTTAGCAAGCAGGAATGTTCATGTTCATGGGCCAATGACATAACCACACTGAAATGGTCTATAACCTAAATATTATTTAAAGGGCCATGAAACCCCCTCGTTTCAGCAGGGTGTTTTCACACCTCTTCTTTGGAAAAAGTCAGAAAAGTGGGCGTGTCCAGCTCTGTTTAGGGGGGAGTGTCGGAGGAACTAAAGTGGGAGGGTGTGGGAGTGTCTATTTGGGCACGCGCGAGTTTCAGTCAAAATACACAGGAGAAAGGGATGGTGTTTAACCTACATGGACATCTGTAGTCGAATTATTTGCCAAATTATTAAATGTCGGACTTTAACTGCAGTTCGGCTCTTTCATTCAGGGAATTCATTCATGCCCCTCGCGACAAATGAGATATTTGATTCGAGATACTGCTCTAAGCGTGTATTTTTCATGCAATGTTTGATACCGCACGGCGAATGACAGAAAAAAAACTCCGCATTTCCCGGAAACTTAGATGCACACGGCAGGTAGCGTCCGAAAGCCGCGTGTGTTATTCCGGTCACAAAATGCGGTGCTAACATGTTTGCACTCAATGCAATAGTTAACTTATTTGATACGAACAAACTGAATATACAAAGAGCACTGGTCGCTCACTTACCAAATCTGTAGAGACAGGACAATCACCAGCAACTAGAGCCGCGTCTTTATGAAGAGAAGACTACATCCGGAATCCGGATTTCAGCGTTTGCAGATGAGAACAGCTCTCAGGTAAACAATAATCCCCCTTAGACACGTAAATTATTGTTGTCGAGCGTCGCGTACACTGTAATCCACACGTGATCCAGATAAGCTCTCACAGAGAGAAAATGAAAACGAAACTTAATGGCAGCAAACTGTAAAAGCAACACTTCACGCTTGTTTTGCCAACACAACGTGGCGTCTCTGTGGTGTAAAGACGGTGACACTAATGAATATTAATGAAGTTGCACAATAGAGCGCGCTGATTGGTTTGAACCAAGCCTAACTCATGCATTAATGCATCACACTGTAAGACGTAATAAGGCACACTCTGGCACAGACGTCCAGTCTGCACGCTGGAATACAACGCTATTATGTCATGACCGTGACGCAGCTTCAAAAATTCGTTTCAAACAGGAAGTACGAATTTGCTTGAAATAACGCAAAAACAACCAATTTACACTTTTTAGTGAAATATAGGTGTCTTAATAGTGTTTTTAGCAGTGTGGGACACATATACGACTGTCAACAGCTCAAAAAATGTGTTTTGGTGTTTCGTGACCCTTTAAATAGACATATTTCGCTTTATATAAGTTGTATTTACATTTAAAGGGAGAAACAACATCTCCCAGTTAAACAAAATTTGTATTCTGTGGTTAAAAAAGTATAGCATTGTCACACACACACACTGAATTGTGGGGACATTCCATCGGTTTCCATTGTTTTTATACTGTACAAACTGTAATATTTCCCAAACGCAGTGGTGTAAAATAACAAAACTCCAATTACTGTAAATGATTATTTTTTTCTCTGGAATTATAATTTACTAAGTAATTTTAAAAATGTGTACTTTTACTTTCCCTTGAGTACATTTTTTGCGCTGTAACTTTTACTCCACTACTTTCCTTCAACCTGCAGTCACTACTTTATTTCTTTCTTGTCTATGGTCATTGGCTAATGTAGAAAAATCAGTCCTGTGATTCCTGTCCATTCAAATTACACATGGAAAGTAAAATCGCATACGGTACAACTTCAAGACATTGGCGCTTTATAAATGCAGCAAACCTTTTGAAAGCATTAAAAATGTCCAAGATGTCCAAAGGATGTCGACTGATGACTAAAATCAAACAGCTGAAACAATCACTAAATGGAACAAATGAAGAATGGAAGGAAGGGCCGAACAAGGAATGGAAAGAAGGACGGAAGGATCCAATATGAAGGAAGGATTCAAGGAAGGACTGAACAAATTAAAGAAGGAGGGAACAAATGAATGAATGAACAGAGGATCAAATGAAGGAATGAACAAATGAAGGAATGAACAAATGGATGAATGAAGGAAGGACAGAATGAACAAACAATGTTAGGAAGAAAGGAACAAATATGGGAAGATTACTAAATGCACAACAGGATATTACGTTTACACATCCCTGCACAAGCTGCATGTAAGTTCATCAGCTTTTCACAGCGTAATACTCACTACTCATGAGCAGTGTTGGGGAGTAACTAGTTACATGTAACAGTGTTACGTAATTTAATTACAAAATAAAAGTAACATTAATTAGTTACAGTTACTGAGGAAAATTGTGTAATTAAATTAAATGTTAAAGATTACAAATGGGGTAACATCTAAAAATGTTCTTAAAACATCTGGGATATGTTGGATAATATTAATCTGGTGCTTTGCCTGTTTTTGATATGCCGTCTGCTAAGGCCATTTATTAAAGCGGTGCTACTCTGATGCTTTTACTTGCGGCGCACCCAGAGGCGTAAATCCTGAGGGGAGCATGTCCTCTGTATAAATGCTTAAAATTTATTTAGTTGAAAATGTCCATTAGAAACTTAAAAGTAATAAAATGTAATTAGTTACTTTACTTTTATAAAGTAATTGAAAAGTAGTGTAACTTATTACATTTTAAATAGGGTTATTTGTAATCTGTAGTCTATTACATTTCTAAAGTAACCTCCCCAACACTGCTTATGAGTTCTTTTAAAGGGGCTACTTTTTACTCATATTTTAAATAAATATTTACAACAGATACTTTTACTCTACTTGCACTACATTATTGGGCAATTAATGGTACTTTTACTTGAGTATGATTGTGCAACACTCTTTCCACCACAGCCCAAATTCCACCCTAAACCTAAACCTGACAGGAAACTGTACAATTTTACCATCTGAAAAAAATAAATAAAATCTTCTGTCTAATTTACAAGCTTTTTGAGAAAGGAGGACATCAGCAGTGTCTTAATTTTTCACCTTCTTTTAATACCCGTGTCATGCCTGTCATTAAACAGTAGGGTTGCACAGTTTACTGGTACTATGGTAGTATCGTGATACTATGACTCTAAAATACTGTTGGTGCCACTGTAGTTTGTAAGTGGTAGTATCGTCTTTAATGGTCTATCTGTTAAATACATAATGCTGCACATTGAAAAAGCACTAAAATGTATTAAATGCGTATAATTCACACATTTAATGGTAGCCCATTGCACGTTTTCTGACGCTTTAGATCGAATCTGAATCAGTTCATTTCTGCTCCTGTCAACATGATTTAGTAGCTAAAACAACTGCGACAAACTAACGACTCACAAAGTAAAATTTTGAATTACTTCCCTGATAAGACTGGAAAAAAACAATAGATACTGGAAACATTGAAACTGAATTTTTGATCACTTCTTAAAGCCTAATTTTGTTGGGGGAAAAAATGCTATTTTTGGAGCAAATTTTATTTGGTATAATTTGTATCTTTATTTTAAAGCAATTTTCGTGTGTCAGTTAACAACAAAAAATAAGAACGAATACATTTTAGTTGAGGTGACGTGCAAATACTTGTTTAAATTATAAGGGAATTATTAATTCAATTCAAGTAGGCCTATTATAACACATAAAATATAGTATTTCTGACCATTTTCTTTATTTCATAGTTTGGAGTTATGAATTACAGTATCGCAATACTACTTGGTATCTCGATACTTCAGCTGGTATCGTATCGTAATATTAATTAATGGTATCGCAACAACCCTATTATACAGATTTGTGTCACAAAAACACACACAAAACATCATGTACAGTTGTCACAGAGATTTTAATTATTACATATTGTTCTCTACAACACATTAAAATGATTTAATATTAACAGTTGTTTATTTACACTGCAACTAAAGCAGACGGATGTAGCCTTTTAACACAAAACAAAGATCTTGAACAATGAGCTTCATTAATGTCCAATGAATAATTCTACTGAAGTCAATCCACTTCCAATGTCTGAAAATAGAACTGACTGTGATAAACCTTAACATAAAATTACCGACCAAAGCCAAGAAATAGCATTGCTGTGGGTGCTAAGGCTGATAACACAAAGTTCAGGTAAGACTGTACACTTTCAGAAATAAAGGTACGCGAGCTGTCACTGGGGTGGTACCTTTTCAAAAATGTTCAAACTTGTATCTAAAAGGTCCCTTTTAACATCTCAAATGTACAATAGTACCCAAGTAGTACAAAAGTGTTCCTCTTAAAATGTATAGGTACTAACATATACTTTTAAGGTACCAATATTCACCCTTTGGATACAAATGTGTTCCCTTCAAAAAGGTACCACCCCAGTGACAGCTCGCGTACTTTTATTTCTGAGAGTGTACATGTGTGCGTTTATCAAAATCCTCAATGATCTGCTCTTAAAAGTCAATTGTATGTCCAGAGCTCTTCATTCTGTGTAGTATCTGAGGCGTTTTCCAGATGAATTCAATGCTGTTCATGTTACTTCTTGTAAGTCAGGGGTGTCAAACTCAATTCCTGGACAGCCGCAGCTCTGCACAGTTTAGTTCCAACCCTAATTTAACACACCTGATCCAACTAACAAGTGCTTTAGGCTTGTTTGATACCCACAGATAGGTGTGCTGAAGCAGGGCTGAAACTAAACTCTGCAGAGCTGCAGCTCTCCAGGAACCGAGTTAGACTCCGGTGTTGTAAGTCCATCATGTTTGCAGTGAATTCTCAATCTCCACTAGCAAGGCAAAGTCTCTCAGTTTCCAGCCGATCTTTTACCTGTAAACACAAACAGAAGTGAATAACCTATAAAATCCACTCGATCAAGATGATTATTATAGTTGAGATAATATACAGTTGATAGCAAACAAACAAAACATTTTTAAACTTGTATTTTTAACTTTGTATATAGAATTCAGATGCAACTCTTTTGTTATAAACACATTTCTTATAAGATAAGCTAATAAAAAAGCTACTTTATTTCAAAATGAATATAAATATAAATAATAATAAAGTCTAAATAAAAATATTAGTAAAACTTTAAAATGATTTAGATCAGGGGGTGCCCAAACGTTTTTTTAGGAAGAGCCAAAAACCAAACTTGATTGAGGATGGTGGGCCAAAGGTAAGTATTCATTCATTTCCCTACATTCATTTCTCTGCTTAGTGTCTTTATTCATCAGGGGTCGCCACAGTGAAATGAACCGCCAACTTATCCAGCATATGTTTTACTGACCCAGCCGGGACTCGAACCAACAACATTCTTGCTGTGAGCCGACAGTTCTAACCACTGAGCCACGTTAAAGTTCAGTTAATTATACTTTATAATAAACTTATTATATTAAAACCAATCCCATTATAACAGAATGGAGTTGAATGGAGCATCTGTTTTTGTCTTGATATGCTCTCCCTGATGTTTTCTGCATTGTCTAAAATTTGATTTATTTGCAGATACATTTAGCCAAGCAATAAACCAAACAAATAAAATCAAGTTTATGTTAAATTAGAAATGACCATCTCTTAGATGGCATGGCTGGCCAAATCAAAAGTTACCATGGGCCAACCTCGGCCCACGGACCTAAGTTTGGGCATCTTTGCTCTAGATAACAAAATAACTAATCAGAAATTTTAAAAACCAAACTCAGATATATGGTCAACATAAAGACACATGACATATATAAAATGATGAATGTTGGGAATCAGTTTATGTTGTATGTAAATACAGGAGTTCCCAAACTTTTCAGCCCGTGACCCCAAAAATAATCATATTAGTGGCTCGCGACCCCCATTTTTCAAGGTGGTTGTACTGTAAATATGTAAACGTTGCAGACACAACTATAGGCAAATATAAACATGAGCTTATTGACAACACAAAAATGCAACAGTCTATAAGCCATATAATGTTTTTTAAAGTCATTTATGGATTAAATTACATTTTGCTTTTAAAATTAAAGGCTGATGGCTGATTGTTATTTTTATGTTGTTGTTTCTTTAATGCAACTATTAACTATATTCTGTCGGTTATGAATAAAATATGGTAATTCTAATAGTTTAATAAAATTTATTTGAGTTTTGGATATCACCAAGCGACCCCTTGTCATTGTCCCGCGACCCCCCAGGCGGTCCCGACCCCCACTTTGAGAACCACTGTGTAAATATTGTAATATCCCGTTATCAGCAGAATGACAAATACATACCCACACAAATAGATATATGCGCACAAATATAAATAATCACCCTCATATAAAAAAAACACTATCTGAAAAGGCAAGTTTCTTCCTGAAGTTTATCATTTATTTAAGCCATTTTCATTTTTTTTTTAATAAAAATCTTAATCAATTACTGGACTTTTTACAGTCATTTTCATTAATTATAATCATATAATTTCTAACATAAAAAAAAAAATGGAACAGAACACACAGCTGATTATATAACCTTGATCCAGTTATTTCTGTTTGACATTGTGCAACCCCAAAAAATTATTACTTTTAAACTGCTAGGTTCGCAAACAGCCACAAACCAGATGCTAAACCTTAAAAGTCAGGTTTTAAACATAGCTGAAAATATTATGAAGTACCCAGCAGGCAAACAACATCATAAGACGTTATTTTAGGTTAGAATTAGGTAGTGACGTCAGGTCACCAGAATTCAATGTGTAGCTAGCGTCTAAGAACAACGTTATTTTAATGTCCAATAACGGCGTCAAGTGAAGTTGATTTTAGGTTGTGTTGGAAAGTGACCATAATCCAACAGAGCCAACATCTTAAACCAACGTCATATTGACGTGAAATACTGACATTTATTCATCAGTTTATAGCAACCACAATCCAACATCTGATATATGTCATATCGGTAACATCCACATAACGTCAAGCTTTAACATCATTAGATGTTGATATTTGGTTGATTTTAGGTTGTGTTGGAAAGTGACCAAAATCCAATGTCCAGCCAACATCTTAAACCAATGTCATATTGATGTCAAATACTGACATTTATGTATCAAATGGTTAAGTTTAGGTTGGATCTTGACGTCGGCCTGACGTTGAGTTCTGACCTCAACAGGATTTTCATTTCCAAACGGGTATTGGGGTACAATGTCAATGTGATGTCATTCATGCCCTGTGCCTGCTGGATATATTTATTCAAGTTTTATATATATATATATATATATATATATATATATATATATATATATATATATATTTTTTTTTTTTTATTGAAAGCAATAAAATTATTATTGAAAATCGTGTTTTTAATATTGCCAGATATTTTTGTAGTTATGCAGGTTTTTCTATTCTATATTTGTTTACGTTTTCAATGTTTATCTTTTTTTAGTTCCATGTGTTACTTTGTATCTAGTTACTTATTTATTTTTTTGCTAAAACATTAAGCTTTTCAGAGAGTCGTATCATCCTACCTGGTTTGTGGCTGTCAGGAGGAGCTAAACATTTTCTTTAATTTGGAGAAAATGCCCTCGTCTTTCTCTGTGTGCCCTGTCCCAGTCTGATTACTGCCCCCTCCTGGACAGAGAAAGGTACTGGTTTAACCTGTTAGCATGACCACCCCATACTCTACTGCAGTAGTTCCCTACTCTGTTCCTGGAGGGAAACCAACAGTACATAGTTTGGATGTCTCCCTTATCTGACTCATTCATTTAAGGTTTTGGAGTCTCTTCTAATGTTCTGATGAGTTGATTCAAGTGTAATTACGATGAGGTTGATAATGTGTACTAGAGCTTTAATCGGGCCATAAAAGTTACACCCGATAGGGCCCGAGGCCTACAGAAGTCGTCCCGAGCCGACAGGTACATTTGATTGACAGCTTTATAAAGCCCGAACCCGTTAATAACCCAACATTATTCAAAATGTGCACAGGCACACAACTCTTTTGCCGTCAAGAATGAGTCATTTATATGTTTTAACAATTTATTAGTAACAAACGTAGGCTGTAGACCACTTGGAAGTTGAAACAAAGAAATAAAATAAGTCCTCTGTAACATCGTAACATCTCAGCACTCTAGGTACATACGCTTAGCCTTTAAATTGGCCAACACACCAATAAAAATAAGTCTTTCCTAACAAATTAAATTAAAATAAATTCTAAATTTGGCAATAACGAAATTAAGATAATGGCACTTCTCTTCACAATCTGGCATTAAGGCGACGGCGAAGCTGAATATTAAAAGAATAGCCTAAAGCCAACATTAGCCTGTATACTCTGTCTACCTTATGATTTTATTGTTTAATTAATATTTATTTTTTAATAAAAAAAAACTTTACTCACCAAGATTAGGCTAAGTGTTTTTGTGGAGGAACATTATTGAATCCACTGTAAATTGGCTTTAGCTCAGTCCTGTGCTCAGGATGGTGCGTCCAGCAGCACTGAACACCCTTTCACTGCTGCTGCTGCTACAGGCCGAGATGCATAATTCTGATCTGGCTAATTTAGCATGTTTTGAATGGGCTATTATTGTTTGTTCATCTTTTACCAACCCAGAACGTCCATTTAATTTTCAATGACAGCGGATTCAATGTAGCGAGTGGCCTCCTCATCTTCCCTGTCAGCTTGCTGTGCTGTTTACCGCTCTAATACCCAGTGTATGAGTGACCGCCGAAATACCTTTGCGGCTAGAATGACAGGTTCTTTCTGAACTGGTGGCTGGCCTGACCGCAGTCAAAATTCGTTCTTTTTGACTTCTCCGTCATCTTTTGTTTCACCTTTGCAGGGTTTGCAACAACCGTTGTAACAAACGGTTTAATTACTTTCTCGCGCTAATCGCATCACATGACTGTTACAAGCCAAGCCTGACTCGACCAAAAGATCTTCAGCTCTAATGTGTACTGTTGGAGTGCCTTCAGGAACAGGGTTCAACTGCTCTACTGTACTAAACTAGCAGTACCTGCAGTGGTGCTGGTCACTCCGTTGACGGTTCCCTCCACATCAGACTCGTCCTCCGCATAGCTCATCATAAGTGCTCGCTGTCGGTCCGTCAACATCCTGACAACACACACACACAAATGTCATTGTAAAATGTATGCAAAACAACTTAATCGACAAGTCTTGTAACACTGACTGCGTATACTTGGACATCAGTGATCAAATTCCTTGTTTTTATCTGAATAAAACAATAATATGATTAAGGTGTTTACATGAGTAGCTTTTTTTAAGTTCACTTCATGTTCCTGCTTTACATAGTTCGATTAACGCCATTACGTCAGCATTCGACGCTAGTTTCCTCCGGCATTTCACACAACAACAGTTTGTGTTCATCATCGCACCATATGTGATTTTGGCCGTTTTGTTTTTAATTTTGCAACAAATTAAACTGCAGTACATTTCTCACACTATCTGTGCAAACAAACGACGGTAGATACAAACTCACAAGCAACAAGCCACCTCTGCCATTCACTAATTCTTTTATTCATCCCCCTACGATGTGCAGTTCATGAGCGGAATACTGAGATATTTGGACTGACAAATCAATAAACTGCCCTTGTGTGGCACAACACATTGAAATGAATGGGTTTCATAGCACAGTGCTTTCTGTATGCAATGTGAAAGCAGATTCACCAGTAAGCTGGAAACTGCTTGACGATACAGCATATCATAGCCTTTCTTTCAGTTCCCGTTTTTATCCATGTTTCTCTCTGGCATTTCCCTTTGTTTTGTTTACATTTTTACAGTTTAAAATTCAGCACATCTTTAATAAAAATGTATTTGATTCATAAGGCTAGATCTATAAAAATGAACATTTCACAACAACTTTAAAATGAGCGAGATATCCCAATCAAAATAATAGAGATGCAAGCGCCATCTACTGGCAGAGAGTGAATCAGCATTTTTGTTCATTTTACTGTTTTTCTATTGTACAGGTACTTTTTCATGTAGCATCATTTCAGTCAGATCATTGTGTTTATTTTTTTTGAAAAGATACAATCTAATTTAAAGTCTAGCTAATTTAAAGACCAGGTTAATGCGTGAAGCGTTTAATGTGGATCTTGAGTACAGTGCAGTAGTTTCCTCAAGATTGCAATAACTGTAAATTCAATGCGATTAACACCTTGATAATGCAGTTCTATTTTAAATATCTTATTTACTGCTGTAAAAAAAAAAAAAATTGGAATCTGCTCATCTGCTTAAAATTTGCAATCCGCTATAAAAATAAATACTTAAATAAATTATAAAAATATGCGCAAGAATTCTTACTTGGGTATTTTGATCTTGATGTGGACGTAGTGGTCACCGTAACCATATCCGCTGACCCGTGGTATACCTTTACCAGACAGCCGGATCCTCTGGTCAGTTTGGGTTCCAACTGGGATCTATAAGATTCAATGAGAACAAAAAAACTATATTAACCTGTCATCACAATAAATGACTGCTCAAATATGCCAACTTCCATACTATACACTAGGAAAGAAACGTAATTAAGAATGCTGATGAAACAAATCTGTTATTTTAGATGACTTTAGATCTGCTACTCTAAAACCACTAGGATGTTGTGGCAAGGCCCTGTCCTAATGAGAGATTCGCTCTCTCAAAACTTCAACAACAAGCAGCACAAGCAGCTGTTTTTAATGTCTAAAAATCAATGGAAGTGAATGAGAGCAGAAGTCTCGGACCAAAAAGATTACAATGGCTGCGCCCGCTCATACCTCAAGTATAAGATGAATACAGAATTAGATTTTGGACACAGTGTGTGTTTATTGCGCAGGATGTCTCACCGAGAGATTGATGGTCTCGTAAAGTCCTTGCGCTCTGATGGTGCCACCCAGGATGGCCTGAGCCACAGAGATCATGACGTCAGAGTGAATGTCAGCACCGTCTCTCCTGAAGATCGGACTCTTCTGGACCTGAGAGCACAGACACAGTTATGCTGGATGAGTGAGATCTGAAATTACACATTCATAGCAGGCGACAGCACAGAATGCTGCTGAATATTACACTATATTCAATTACAAATATTACTGGTCGTTCATACAGGATGCGTCTTGCGTGAGTAAATTGCAATAAATGCCCGTAATTTGATGGCCACTGCTAGAGCTAACTCCTGACCGAATGACGGCCGCTACTAGAGCTAGCTCCTGATTGGATGACGGCCACTACTAGAATTAGCTCCTGACTGGATGACGGCCGCTAATAGATATCTGCCGCTACTAGAGCAAGCTCTTGATTGGATGATGGCCACTGCTAGAGCTAACTCCTGACCGAATGACTGCCGCTACCAGAGCTAGCTCCTGACCGGATGACGGCCGCTAATAGATGACGTTCGTTATTAGAGCAAGCTCTTGATTGGATGATGGCCGCAGCTAGAGCTAGCTTCTGACTGAATGACGGCCGCTACTAGAGCTAGCTCCTGATTGGATGACGGCCACTACTAGAATTAGCTCCTGACTGGATGACGGCCGCTAATAGATATCTGCCGCTACTAGAGCAAGCTCTTGATTGGATGATGGCCGCTGCTAGAGCTAGCTTCTGACTGAATGACGGCCGCTACTAGAGCTAGCTCCTGATTGGATGACGGCCACTACTAGAATTAGCTCCTGACTGGATGACGGCCGCTAATAGATATCTGCCGCTACTAGAGCAAGCTCTTGATTGGATGATGGCCGCTGCTAGAGCTAACTCCTGACCGAATGACTGCCGCTACCAGAGCTAGCTCCTGACCGGATGACGGCCGCTAATAGATGACGTTCGTTACTAGAGCAAGCTCTTGATTGGATGATGGCCGCAGCTAGAGCTAGCTTCTGACTGAATGACGGCCGCTACTAGAGCTAGCTCACTGGATGATGGCCGCAACTAGATGATAGGCATTACTAGAGCAAGCACTTGATTGAATGATGGCTGCTACTAGAGCAAGCTCTTGATTGGATGATGGCAGCCATTAGAATTAGCTCCTGACTGGATGACAGCCACTACTAGAGCAAGCTCTTGATTGGATGATGGCTGCAGCTAGAGCTAGCTCCTGACTAGATGACAGCCGCTACTAAAGCAAGCTCTGGATTAGATGACGGTCGTTACTAGAGCTAGCACCTGATTGGACGAAGGCTGCTACTAAAGCTAGGTCCCAATTGGATGACAGCTGCTACTAAAGCTAGGTCCTGACTAGATGACGGCTGCTACTAGAGCAAGCTCTTGATTAAATGTGGTAAAAGTGGTGATTAAAGTTGTATAATGAACCACGACAGTCATCCCCTTTTTGATACAGTCCAAGCGTGTGCAAGCTCTTTTAGCACAAGATTAATTCAACCCCGGTGCTACAGAGAAAGATACAGGAAGTCTTTTTTACCAACAGTGATCAGATTGTATAACCAAAGTCATACCCGATGAATTGTGCTGAACTTGAATTAGATATTAGATATATACAAGTGTTTACTCGTTGTTTTTGGAACCAAGGTTTGCAGTATGAAATGTAATCTTATTATTGTTTTTATATGTATGTAACTTATTTACCCATTTTTAGTATGGAGAGCTCTGCTGTGACATGTGAATTTCCCTCCGGGGATTAATAAAGTCTATGGATGATCATTGGATGACTACCACTACTCGAGCTAGCATCTGAAAGGATGACAGCCACTATTAGAGCTAGCTCCTGACTGGATGACGACTGCTACTAGAGAAAGCAGGCGGTTCAAGGTGGTTTTAGACATAATACTTGAAGGGCTTCAATAAAAACAGGGGTAAGAGTTCAGAAATTAGGTTGATTAAATCAAGACCTGTTTAAACTTATTTAGGGCCTGGAAACTAGGGATGCTCATTTCGATTAATTTTGCTAACCGACAACCGCCGCTCGCTAATCGGTTATAAACGATTAACTGGTCAGATTACTATTAAATTATCATTAAATTTTTTTAAACAAATTGACGTGTCTATTTTGTGTCTGACACATTACATATTGCATTTTAACATTAGTTAGAGAACAAAACGAACACACGGACTGATCCTTTTTAAGAACCGGCATAGGCTGTTTTTTTTTTGTTTTTTTCAATCATGTTTTTTTCTTCCGTCAAATAAAAATAGCAGACTTCATCAATTCGCTCGCTCCACGGAAAATATGCATTTATTAAATGCCCCGCTGTTATTATTATATTAAAAAACCTTTTTACATTTTTAATAGAATCATTATTTTAAAGATTAGGCTATGTCTTGATACATGGTTTCCTCTCTCTCTAGCAGTTCAAGTGCGCGCGCTGCGTGATGAAAAACAACAACAACAACGCGCGCATATGTAAACAACAGTTTTGTTGTTTAAATGTGATATTGCATTTATTTGCATATATGCTTTATAAGCTGTAAAATGAAAACTAAAGACTATTTGTTGCGTTTATGACGCAGAGACCATCAGCAAACTCGTCTGTATCAAACAGCAATATTCTTCTTCCATTTTGCTTCTTTGGCAAATATGTCTGTAGGCTTGTGTGGTCACACGTTATCGATTATGCATGAGTGTTGCTGTCAATGTTGTTACAATTGTAATATTTAATACTGTTGTGATATTCAAGATTTTGTAAATTCATACAGCTCTGGATAACTTAAAAGCAAGCACTAGTACAAACTGCTGCTCTGGGATGAGCCGTGTGCAAACCAATTGCGGCTTTTAGTAAACCATTCAAAAGATGCCCCTCTTAACGCATTCGATCGGCCCCTTATGCAGCAAAACTAAAAATATATAAAATATAATTTTTAATCGTTTAACTGATACCGTTAATCGGTTACAAACGCACCCTCTGGTTAACGGTTAATTGATTATTTTGAGCTTCCCTACTAGAAACACAATGCTTCAGTAAATTCAATACTTTTTGAAGCCTATCATTTTTCTAGTTTAGAAATAATTTTTTATTTCTTTAGTTTTTAAGACCCAACAGAAATCCTCACTACAACTGCAAGCGGGTTAAGGTTCAGTTGATGCACTAATGTACTCACTTTGAACGTAATGAAAATCTCTTTCTTCCCAACAGGCATTCGCACCGTCTGCCCATCCTCAATACCTGTAAAACAGTCGAGAACAAAACATCAAAACTCAACAATCCCATTCACTGAAGTCAGTCTCACTTCAACATCGATAACCCCAGTGAACCCACCAGCAGGAACGGGCACCGTGACGGTTTTCCTTTGTTTGGTTTGTCCCGTCCCTCGACAGGCGATACAGGGTGATGTGATGACCGAACCTCTCCCTCCACAGCGCCGGCAGGTGGAGCGCATCACGAAGGGTCCCGTGTTCACCGTCTCCTACAGTGACAGACGCACCAACAATTCAACAACGGGTTTTTGTATTCAAATACGTCTTTTTTCCACAAATTCGACAAGTATGTTTTTTGACAGCCTTACTCACCATGCCGGTGCCATTACAATTTCCGCAGTGCTGGACTTTAGACCCAGGCTCATGTCCTCTGCCGTCACACCGCTGACACGTGCCCTCGATGTTCACTGTGATCTCCTTATTCACTCCTTTAGCAGCCTGAGCGAATGTCAGCTCCATCACATACTGTTAGCAAACACAACAAGGGTTATGCACAATCTAGAGATTTACGATTTCCACAAAAAACGCTCACAGTCGGAAATATGGATTTAAATGAACTGCATCGATTTTTTTGGGCCCTTTTCATTGTTTTTTGGTTTGCAGACAGGACAGTAGTGATATGTAGGCCCACACGGAATCTGCACGCGCAGAATTCCGCAGATTTTCCACAGAATTCCGCAGATTTCTGCAGATTTTTAGCCCAATTATTAATTCTGTTTTCTGTTTAATGCCTAAATGTGTAAATCTGAAATAATTTATTACTTTTTATTCAATATATTAAAGTTTTAGTCATGATACTCCGCTGGATACTCCCAAAGTAATTCCGCAGAAATCCGCAGATTTTTACCAAAATTCTCTGCAGAAATAGCAAAAAACTTCCGCAGATTCCGTCTGGCCCTGGTGATATGACATTAAAACTATGGTGGAGAGTAGGGCTGCTCGATTATGGGAAAAATCATAATCACGATTATTTTGGTCATAATTGTAAATCACGATTATTCAAAACGATTATTAGTTGAAGTCAAAATTATTCGCCCTTCTGTGAATTTTTTTTTTATGGAAATATTTCCTAAATGATGTTTAACAAAGGAATTTTTCCACAGTATTTCCTATAATATTTTTTCTTCTGGAGAAAGGCTGATTTGTTTTTATTTCGGCTAGATTTAAAGCAGGTTTGAATATTTTGAAACCCATTTTAATAGCTCAATATTATTAGCCACTTTAAGAAATATTTTGATTGTCTGCAGAGGAAACTACTGTTATACAATGACCTGCCTAATCACAATAATTAGGCCTTTGAAATGTAACTTAAAGCTGAATACTAGTCTCTTGAAAAATATCTAGTAAAATATAATGTACTGTCATCATAGCAGAGATAAAAGAAATCAGTTTAAATTTGTTTAAATTATGCTAAGCATCTTCACTGTAAGAAAAAAAACTTAAGCTACAAAAGTCCTTCAGTCAAGAGCAGTGAGCGATTTTCTCCTTTTGTCATTTGATTAATATTAAAAACAGGCGGCAGCAGGATTATTGCGCGCTGTCACTTTAAGAATAGTGCGGCTCTGATATGGTTTCTCTTTCACATGTCTTTTAATTCTCAACTTGTTTGTTTGTTACACAAATGAGGGTTAATATGAATAATTATTAAACACAGCGCTCTGACACAAATGTGCATGTATTTGATCATTAAAGTGCTCACATTAAGATGGCGTTAGATGTGTGTGCTCTGCTCTTCTCCGCGCCTGTCCGAGGCTAAGTGCGGCGCACACACAGAAATAGCAAAAAACATCCGCAGATTCCGTCTGGCCCTGGTGATATGACATTAAAACTATGGTGGAGAGTAGGGCTGCTCGATTATGGGAAAAATCATAATCACGATTGTAAATCACGATTATTCAAAACGATTATCAGTTAAAGTCAAAATTATTCGCCCTTCTGTGAATTTTTTTTTTTAATAGAAAAATTTCCTAAATGATGTTTAACAGAGAAATTTTTCACAGTATTTCCTATAATATTTTTTCTTCTGGAGAAAAGCTGATTTGTTTTTATTTCGGCTAGATTTATACACACACACAACAGTATGTACTCTTTCGCGCTTTTTAAATTATCAATGATTTGAACGTAAATCATTGAATGATGCGCATCCCGTGCTGCAAACATAGTCATATTTACGTGGAACTGAGCTTCGCAGAGCTACAAATGTGTACAACTGGAAAGGGGGCAGTATATGATGCAATTATCGTTTATCTTGATTAATGGTTTTTCATAATTGCTAGAATTCAAAATCGAAATCGAAACCGTATTATCGATTAATTGCACAGCCCTAGTGGAGAGTGGGATCGGCAAATGATGGGATTTGAATTATGATGAGGGAATTGAATTATAAAATCAAGTATGGCACAATTGCTTAAGCCGAAATCACAATCTGGCAAATTAGAAGTGACAATAAAATACGGCTCAAATCAAAAATAGTAACGAAGTCAAATTAGGGCTTGACAATAGGAAAAAAAGCACATAGCAATATTTAGTTTTTCCTTTTCTAGATCTTGAGTCTCCTGTTATACGACTATTGTGAATAGACATCGTAATTCTGAAACTATTATGCACATGATATTAAATCAGTTAACATTTTTTCCCCATTATTAAATAGCATTTTGTTTTCCCTAAAATGTGATTTTATTTACTACCTAAAACCAATTACTACAATTATTAATATTATAGTTTTTGTTATTATTATTATTATTATTATTAATAATAATAATAATAACCATAATATTTATTATTATTTAAAGAAACAATTTAATAATTTTACTACATTTAAATATTTAGAAATTTACATTGATTTAAATTGAGCATAAAACACTTATTGTGGGGAAAATGGGGAATAAAATAAAAGTAGTTATATTTTCTCCCTCCCAAATTATGTTTTTATATTTTTGATCTACTTTTCCCTTGAAAAGTTTCAAATAAACAACAACAAAAAAAGTTTTAATGTTTTAAAATGTAAAGGTATTTGGGGGTATAGGGGTTTTGAGAGAAAAATAAATTACAGGGAAATTAAGGGAAATAACAATATTTTTTAAAAAACTTATAAAAAAAAAAAAAAAAAACAAATCAAATTTTCTGGACATTTAAAAAAATGCGATAATAATAACAAAAAAATGTATAATTATATCTCATTATCTTATGAATAATGAACAAACTCAAAATTAATAAATAAATCAAATAAATACATTTTTAAATATTCAAAAGTATAGACCAATTGGATTGGCCGCAGTTTGCAGTTACATTAAAATCCACTAGTCATCTCTGGAAGTAAGCATCTCATACCTCTTGTGGCTGATTGAAGATGGCGTTGAAATCCCCAAAGCCCTGAGCGCCAGAAAACTCGCCAAAAATCTTGCGGAAAAGCTCCTCCGGGTCAATGCTGGTCCCTCCACCCCAATACTGCTGATGTCCCGCACCGGCGCGACCCGCATCAAACCCTGCAGAACCGTACGTGTCGTACTGTTTCCTCTTTACCTCGTCACTGAGAACCTGAAGAGGAAACATGAGAAAAACACCAACTCAGTATTCCAGCAGGAGACACTGCTAACAAGAAAAACAACAACAACGCTTCAAACCTCATAGGCTTCCGCTAGCTGTGCAAACTTTTCCTTAGCTTGAGGGTCTTCTTTATTAGTGTCTGGGTGATACTTTTTGGCCATCTGAATAGGAGAAAATCATTAAGGAGTCACTGAAGGGTTCATTTTCAAACATTAAAAGGTGCTAAATAAATAGAGTGCTTGATAGAGGGTTACATTTTATATAAATTTACCATATACAACACATGAAATCCTATATTGATGTAAGCTTTCATAACAAATCGTCACATTAGAATTATGAGGTTCTATCTGACATTTTTGTCAAAATCGACTTATTGACATATTCTTATTAAATGACAACTTATTTACATTATGAAATGTTTTTTGGGAAGTTGTTTACATTTGAAGACTTCATTAAAAAAACAAATGTTACAAATGTTTGCTATGGAATACAAAAAACTTTAAAGCTCAATATCTTAAAATTATTAAGAACCCAGATAGAACCTTGAAATTATATAATACTTGCTGTTTAATAATTAAGGCTATTATTATTATTATAAACTACTATTAATAATAATAATTAAGAATATTATTTTATTATTATATAACAATAATAATAATAATAATTATTATTATTATTATTATTATATACTATTATTACATGACTATTTTTAAGTTTAGCTTAAATGGTAAACTGTAGATTTATAATTTCATTTATCAATAAATAATAATACAATAAAAGTTATAAATACTATACAAATAATAATAAATAAATACTAATATAAATAAATATATTATTACATTAAGTATTTGATCACTTTTATTAAATACTTTATAAATGATGTTAGCAACAAATACTAAATGTGTTGAAACATAATTAAATTATTGATGAAATGTGTTAAATAAATTTAATATATCCATCATTCTTATTTCCTGAAAAATCTTTATATACATTAAGAGTCTAAATTATTAGCCTTCTTATGAATTTATTATTTTTTTCAAATATTTTTCAAATGATGTTTAACAGTGCAAGGAATTTTTCACAGTATTTCCTATAATATTTTTTCTTCTAGAGAAAATCTTACTTTTTTTAATTCTGCAGTTTTTAATAGAAAAAAATAAGGTCAATATTATTAGCCCCCTTAAACAACGTTTATTTTCGATTGTCTACAAAACAAACCAGTTATAGAATGATTTGCCTAATTACCCCAATTAACCTAATTAGGCCTTGAAATGTCACTTTAAGCCAGAGATGCCCAAACTAGGGCCTGCGGGCTAAAGCTGGCCCATGGTAACCTTTGATTGGTTTAGAGATTGTCAATCCAAATATAATGTAACCCTTTGTTTGTTTGGTTTATTGTTAAAAGCTAACTGAAAATAAATGTTTCAATGAAACGGTGTAAATTAATCAGAGTTTGTTTAAATGTAGCCTACATACTGTCACCCGACAATGCAGAGACTTTGGTGAGCAAATCAAGTCAAAGACGGATTCTGCTTGTCAAGTGTCTTCAACACTGAACTCCACTGTGTTATAAATGTGATCGTGTTTTTATTGCAATATGTTATCATTTAAAAACTTACACTGCATTAGATAATACAATTTAAAGTAATGTTTTCGATTTATTTTGAAATATTAGGAAATAAATTAGGAAATTGTCCATGGCAACTTTAATGTAATATAATTAGGTATATTCACCTTCGGCCCACGGCTGGCAATGATATTTGGTTTTTGGCCCTTTATACAAAAAAGTGTGGGCATCCCCGCTTTAAGCTGAATATTAGTGCCTTAAAAAATATCTAGTCAAATATTATGTACTGTAATCATGGCGAAAAAAAAAAAGAAATCAGTTATTACAAATGAGTTATTAAAACTATTATGACAAGAAATGTGTTGAAAAAAATATTTCCGTTGAACAGAAATTGGGAAAAAACATACAGGGGGGCTAATAATTCTGACTTCAACTATGTTTTTATAACAGTTACATTGTTCAATCAGTTTAGACATGCTCATTTAAGTAACATATATACATTTGAAAGCTACTTGATCAATGCTATAATTCATTAAATATTCATTCATTTTGTTTTGCCTTGCAACTGCTTTGCATACCTGGTAATAAGCTTTCTTGATCTCTTTCTGCGTTGCCGAGCGAGGAACTCCTAAAATCTGGTAGAAGTCTTGTTTTCTTGAAGGAGCGCTGGTGTGAAATGACATCTTACAGACGACGTGCGAAGAGCCTATAGCTGTGAGACACACAATAATCATTATTAATGTGAACAGCTCATTTCACTTATTAATTACCTAAACAGCAGTCAAGTTCACTTGTATTGTGGTCTGCGCTAATTGCGATGAATAATTTGTATTCATTTGTTTCTCTATTGCATGTTCTCCCGGTGTTGGCGTGGGTTTCCTTCGGGTGCTCTAGTTTCCCCCACAGTCCAAAGACATGCACTATAGGTGAACTGAATTAACTAAATTGGCCGTATTGTATGTGTGTGAATGAGTGTATGGGTGTTTCCCAGTGGTGAGTTGCAGCTGCAAGGACATCAGCTGCGTAAAACATGTGCTGGAAAAGTTGGCAGTTCGCAGTAGCGACCCCTGATAAATAACGAACTAAGCCGAAGGAAAATGAATATTTCTGCATTTGCATGTGTTTTGAGAATGTGTGTGCCTGTATGTTGTCAAACTGATTTTTTCTCTCGAGCTGTTAGTGTTCACCTAAACATGAATATTCAGTTATTAATTACTCACCATTATGTTGTTAAAATAAAATAAAACTAAATGTCTTATGTCGTTCGAAACCCCCAAAAACTTATTTTCCCCTTCAAAACAAATTAAGAAACTTTAGATGAAATCCTGGAGCTCTTTCATCCTCCATAGACAGCAATGGTCCCAAATCGTTCAAATTCCAGACAAATACTAAAAACATCCTCAAAACAGACCATTCGCCTTCAGTGATTCAATCACAATATTATCAAGCTACGAAAATACTTGTGCAGACATTAGAAGTCCTGTGAAGTGCTTTGAAATTTCAATTTTTATTCAATGTTTGACGTAGTCTCAACAAAAAGATAAAGAGAGAGTGGAATATAGTGTAGCTTCTTCCCTTTTAAAAAACAGCCAGTAGAGTTTTGTTTTTAATCGCTTCTCTGTCGATAAGAGTGGTTGAGCTCAAGCCCATAAAATTTAAAGCACCTTGAAGGGGGCGGGACATGTCAGACACTAGAGAGCATTTGATTGGTCAAGATTTGATGAGGAACTGATTTGAGGTTAATTCATTTAGGCGGAAGTGAGCTTTACATGTCTATGTGTTTTCTTTTCTAAATACAAACTGTCATTGTTTTTGTGCGCATTAGCTTATTGATATCCTAAAAACTAACAATACTGATAGTAACATCTAAAATAATTTATTTGAATTTCATGAGACCCAAAAACAGACTATTCAACTCAGTTTCTTCTCCTCAGGGTCAGTATAGGGCGCACAGTCCCAGGAGCTCTGTGCTCTTTATGGGTGTCGTTCTCGGTTTTGTTGACGTTTTAAATCAAATATGCCTTATGACACTAGTGTTGTCATAAGTAGTGTTGTTATATTAGTTCACCTCTGTTTATCGAATGCAGAGAAAGTTACAGGGACACTGGAGCGTTTTAAAGCTGCGAAGATCAGCTGGTCTGTTTATGAGTTTATCTGCTGATGAATCGACTGGTCTTTGTGACTTTAAACCACTCCAGTGTCCCTGTATCTGTGTTACAGCAGTGAACTAATGAGTTTCACGACCAATTACAGTCATTAACGTTGAGCAGGTGAACACAAAGGCAAATCAGTGCTGTTTAAGAACAAGCTCAAATGTTAGCGCTGGACATTTTTTACATTTTAGAACAGTTTGGTATCGAAATTCAGTATCGTGACTAGGGTTGTAACGGCATGAATTTTTTACGGTACGATAATCGTCTAAAACAATACCACGGTTTGACGGTTTCGCGGTATACGGTATTAAATAGTAATTCTCATAGCAAAGACCCTGAAAAGAATAAGAACACGTTTTCTGACTGAACAAAGGTTTTATTTCAACAAACTTTTGAAAGAACCATTTTAATAGAACTATAGAAGTCTTTTATAAAAAATAAACTGAAAATTTCCCATTTTAATAAATTAAATTAGAAGGAATAAACAAGCAAGGTCTTTTAAGATCAGACAAAAACAAACTTAAACTGTCCTTCCTTATAAGCAGGATAAATGGGAGACCAAAAGTGCAATACCAAGTTTATGGCTGTAAACATGTATTTAAAGCGTTGTTTTTTTCAGTCTAGGTTGTGATGAAGAAATGTAAGCATGTTGAGATTTTCAGGACTTAATCTTGACCGCTGAGGTGAGAGAATGTGTCCACTTGTACAATGAACAAATAAAAAAATAAGAAAATAATAAATAATGTGTCAAAGTCCAAATAAACATGGTGCAAATCCTCAGTAAAAAAATAGATATAAATATTTACTATACTATAAATAGTTACATAACGAAACTAGATTCAATATGGAACATCCTTAGGTTTTATGTGCCAGCATGGATATGGTTGTCTGTTGATTTGGATTTGGATATGGTTGTCTGCAATGCAGACAAACAGCTGCACCTTCATTTGTGTCTTTTGAAAACAGCAAGAGCAGCAGTTCGTCTTTGCTGTGTCACTGTTTTGTCATGTTTCTGTGCTGCTGTGCATGCAAAGGTACTTAGTATGAGAATTATTTCATGCAAAACTTTTTTTTTTTTGCGTTTTATTTAGCCGCGCATAAATGTATCTCTCATTCAGTGTTGTTCAAAAAGCTCATTGTTGGTCCACAAACAAAAGTGAAACCTATGCTTATTGGTTGTGATATAGCGAGTTTGAACCAATCTGGGCATGGAGGAGGGACAATGCATCAATGTATCATGTCTGGTTTGTCCGGAGACACAGTGACGAGCGTTTCTTTGTCAAATCAGCGTTGTCAAATTTTGATGACGTAACCACACTGATTCCGGAGCCTCTGAAAGTCCGAGAAAGCTGAGATTCTCTTCTTTATGCCAATCTTTGAATTGTATGAATCGGATCAGCGGATCATAAGTTATTAAACATTTAAGAGCAATACTTATTTTTAGCGCGGGCGGCTGTCTCGGTCTTTAAGGGTTAAAACCGTTGATATGCAATTATTCATGGTATGATAATCGTGCACGTTCAAATCGTGGTGGACCGTCATACCGGTATATTGTTACAACCCTAATCGTGACTAGGGATGGGCCGGTATAAGTTTCTGACGATATAATAACTTTAGATAAAAAAATACCACGGTTTCACGGTATTGTAATTACTGCTCTAATATAAGTATTTTTTTTAAATGTCTAAGTAAAAAAACTACATTTTTACCCCATTGAACACAATATATTTTATTTTAGGAAACATTTATAATATTTTGGTAACAGTTAGCATGTCCAGCTAAATAATTAAAATAAATCATTGACTTCTGCTTTCTTTATTGGTTTCAAAAACACAGATTTATTTACAACACACAAAAAAAACCTAAAAAAAAAAAAAAAAAAAAAAAAAAAAAAACTTACATATATCTTAGGAACGGTATAACAGAAAATTTTAGCGGTTTTAAAACCTTGATTTTACCAAACCGCTGTATACCTTGAAACCGGTTATCATCCCATGCCTAATCATGACAACACTGACACTGAGGAGAAGAAACTGCTGAATAAAGTTGTTACTTTTGTTTATGTAAACACAAAAGAATTGATACAGCTTGTTTTGAGAGTTATGGACTTTAGATGAGCTGGGACCATTGCTGACTGAGGATGAGAAAGCTCCAGGATTTCATCTAAAACATCTTTATTTTGTTCTGAAGATGAACGAACGTCTCATAGGTTTGGAACTACATGATGGTGAACAATCAATAACAGACAATTAATTTATGGGTGAACTAACCCTTATTGACGTAAAGTTGGTTTTATATTCACACACTTGGACTTTCTCCTTAATAATATAATTTTAAGGTATTCTTTACTATTTCTAATAGGGATGTAACAGTATTGTAAATACCGCCATACCGCAATAGCAATTTTTTTCAATATTACCGTGGTTGCATGACTCGGTAAAACTATAGGTCTTCTGAGAAAATTTGCTCAGGCGAATGAAGCAAACGGGAGGTAGCGGAAACTACAATTCCCATCAGCCCAGGCGTGGCCATCATCCATACAGATCCAGTAATGCGGAAATGGAGTGTGTTGCTAGTAGCGGGGATGAAAAAGAGCTGGAAATGATCGAACCCAAAGCAGGATTTAAATCGAATGTGTGCAAGCATTTCGGTTGGGGCTGTTGTTGTTGACGCTGCGCGCGTACTGAATAGCGGTGTTGTCGCGTCGGCATTTCTGTTGCAGGGGACATTGTAAATGCCCAGAGATACCAGCTTTTACCAGATTTTAGTTATATAATTTTCCCTAAACCCCATCTCTATTTAAGTGAGTGAGTGAGTGATTAAATGTTGAATGTGATGAGTTTTCAACAATACTAAATTGAAACTTTATTTTTTTTTTACATGGTTTAATATTTTTTTGTTATTAAAATTGAAAAATTGAAGTTTCTGTTTCAAAGCTAACAGATAGATGGCTAATTTGTATGTCATTGACACTTTTGGCACTTTTTTTGGAGTATTTTCATTAGGTTTGTTTTTCCTGTAAATGATTCAATTAATACCGTACCGTGGCATTCATACCGAGGTATTACCATACCGTGAAAATCTGATACCGTTACATCCCTAATTTCTAAACATCATATTAGCAGCCAATGATTATCAAAATGTGTTTTTTAGTCATTTAAGTAGTGCTAATGTTGATCTGAAGTCATACTTGCTAGCGATTTCAGAGGAAATATTTAAAATAGCACTGTCACTGTTAAAAAAAAACGAGCGAATGTGTAAGTATAACAACAACTTTACCTCAATAAGGGTTAGTTCACACATAAATTAAACGTCAATCAATCTAACCAACCCTTTGAGCTCTCTCAGCCACCGTATAAAAACAGATGCAACCCAACAAAGATCAAACTGAACCAAACAGCGTAACACACTACTCAACATTCTGAATACCTTCATTATTATCTTCGTAATAGCAACATCTAGTCTCATATAATGTCTTTATTTGTACAGCAGAACTCCTGCAAGGTCAGGGAAGCTTCTGGAAATGCAGCCAGAGCAGGTCTGTGGTTTACCCTCAGGCCCAAACTTTTACTCTGGCATTATCGATCAGGTATCTTGATCAAAGTGATCGCGTGTGTGTGTATTGATCATAGCTTATTGCCACAGCCATGTTTACTTTCTGACCTACATGTTGTGAATTGACGTGATGACATAGCCTCGTCCGTCAAACCAACTAATCAGTATATGGTTCGAGCTGATCGGATGTGCTTTATGAACTCAGTGTTTTGAACTTACAAGTTTTTGTAATGTATATTATTCCAGTAAGCGTGTAGGTTTGATGCTCAGGCCTGTATTCCTCACCTGTCATGCCGCTCAATGTCACCGCAGCCCCGGCTCCTCCGGAGAGCCCGCCGCGTGTCGTCCACATCTGCCGGCCTGACAGGCTCTTGAAGCCCCTGTAGGCTCCATCCGCTCGGGGAATGAAGGGTGAGCATGCCCGGCTGTGGCTGGAGGACACGGCCGCTGAGATCCAGCGTGCGGAGCTGCGAGCCGCGGAACACGCCATCTTTGCTCCTTACCGAGACGAGAGCGACTGCGCATGTGCGAGCGGCATGCGCATAGACTCTTGGTTGAAGTGCAATAAAGTGGACAGGCTGGAACTTTATGGAGGCTGTCCTAGACATTGAGAAATTCAAGATCAATTTGAATAATTAATAACAAAAAAAAAAAATAGGTTTCATTATATTTAATTATTTTTCTATAAAAATGAAAACTATGTAAATCATTTATTATTCTCTTCATTGTAATTTATGAGGATTTAGTGTACAAATATGGAGTCAAAATCTGCTGGACAAAAATGGTTCTGAAATATAGCTTTCAGTTTATTTGTTTGTTAATAGTTTATTTAGCCTTTATACAGCATATTTAATAGTTTATTTAGCATATATAATATATATAGCATATTTATTAGTTTATTTAGTCTATTTAATGTATAGCATATTTAATAGTTTATTTAGTCTATATAATATAATATATATATATATATATATATAGCATATTTAATAGTTTATTTAGTCTATGTAATATATACAGTATATTTAATAGTTTATTTAACATATATTATATATAGCATGTTTATTAATTTATTTAGTCTATACAATATATAGCATATTTAATATTTTATTTATTCTATACAATATATATAGCATATTTAATAGTTTATTTAGTCTATACAATATATATAGCATATTTAATAGTTTATTTATTCTATATAATATATGTAGCATATTTAATAGTTTATTTAGTCTATATAATATATGTAGCATATTTAATAGTTTATTTAGTCTATATATATATATAGCATATTTAATAGTTTATTTAGTCTATGTAATATATACAGCATTTTTAATAGTTTATTTAACATATATTATATATAGCATATTTATTAGTTTATTTAGTCTATACAATATATAGCATATTTAATAGTTTATTTATTTTATACAATATATAGCAAATTTAATAGTTTATTTAGTCTATACAATATATATAGCATATTTAATAGTTTATTTAGTCTATACAATATATATATAGCATATTTAATAGTTTATTTAGTCTATATAATATATATAGCATATTTAATAGTTTATTTAGTCTATACAATATATATATATAGCATATTTAATAGTTTATTTAGTCTATATAATATATATAGCATATTTAATAGTTTTTTTAGTCTATATAATAAATGTAGCATATTTAATAGTTTATTTATTCTATATAATATATGTAGCATATTTAATAGTTTATTTAGTCTCTATAATATATGTAGCATATTTAATAGTTTATTTAGTCTATATATATATATATATATATATATATATATATATATATATATATATATATATATATATATATATATATATATATATATAGCATATTTAATAGTTTAAATATCCCTTAGAATATGTATAGTATATTAAATAGTTAATTTAGCCTATGGAATATATATATGCAGGGAGAACATGTAAACTTATCTATATATATATTTTTTTTATTTGTTGTTTTTAGATATAAATGTAGCATTGGGCAACACGGTGGCTCAGTGGTTAGCACGGTCGCCTCACAGCAAGAATGTCGCTGGTTCGAGTCCCTACTGGGTCAAATGGCATTTCTGTGTGGAGTTTGCTTGCTCTCTTCGTGTTGGCATGGATTTCCTCCAGGTGCTTCGGTTTCCCCCACAGTCCAAAGACATGTGCTAGAGGTGAATTAAATAAACTAAATTGGCGGTAGTGTATGACCGTGTAAATGAGTTTGTATGGGTGTAGTAGGTTGCGGCTGGAAGGGCATCCGCTGTATAAAACATATGCTGGATAAATTGGAGGTTCATTCCACTATGGCGACCCCTGATGAATAAAGGGATTAAGCTGAAGGAAAATGAATGAATGTAGTATTGTTGTTGTTATTATTTTTTTTATACCTGTTTTCTGTCCTAAATATTGTTTGTGATGCTAGAGTTTAGGCTATAATAGTAGTGTACTATGTTTGATTTGGAGATGAAGAACATGTCAACAAATTAAGATTTTCCTGTAAAAACGATGTCTTGCTGATTTGATACTGTAACTGTATCTCTCTGACTTATAAACATCAATAAAAAAAAAACAGAGCTAAAGTAAAATATAAAAGCTTGGGGTTTTCATAACAGCTAATTTCAAAATTGAGGACACAAGTGTCACAATTGTAACCCTAAAACAGGGGTGGCCAATGCTGTTCCTGGAGATCTACCTTCCTGCAGATTTCAGTTGCAACCCTTATCAAACACACCTGTCTGTAATTATCAAGTGGATTTCAGGTCCTAATTAATTGGTTCAGGTGGGTTTGATCAGGGTAGGAGCTAAACTGTACAGGAAGGTAGATCTCCAGGAACAGGATTGAGCACCCCTGCCCTAAAACATACAAGCTTTAAGAGATAATTCATCAAAAACTTACATTTTCTGTCTTAACTTACTTACTTTTCACTTGTATCAATGTGCTTTAAGTTTCTTTCTTCTTTTGAACATTAAAGCAGATCTTTCCAATAAGACCCAAAAACCGGTAACCATTGACTTTCATAGTATTTGGTTACTATTAAAATCAATGGTTACAGGTTTTCGGGTTTCTTCTTTTGTGGTCAACAGATGAAAGAAACTTAAACAGTTTCTGAACAAGTGAGTAAACAGTGAGTGCATTTTAATTTTTTGGTGAACTATACCTTTAATTAAACCCCAAATTATTAAAAGCACACTGCGTTTTGATTTCGCAGAAATGACCGCCGTGATTTTAAGTCTAGAAGGGATACAGCTGCAGATACCCACGTCAAAATAACATCATTTTTGATAAACTGTACGTTAATAATTACTATTTGTACATTATTGTGGGGTCTGCGATTAAGGTTGGTGTATGGCTGGGGTGTCCAAACTCGGTCCTGGAGGGCCGGTGTCCTGCAAAGTTTAGTCCCAACCCCAATCAGACACACCTGGCAATCAATCAATCTCTTACTAGGCTTTCTAGAAGCATCCCTGCTGATGTGTTAAAGCAAGTTGGAGCTAAAATCAGCAGGACCACCGGCCCTCCAGGACCGAGTTTGGACACCGCTGGGAGATGTTAATAAAATACAATTAAATGGGTAATTTAATAAATAATATAAATACTATTCAGTAAAATTACTGTTTTTAAGTTATTGTGGAGGTTGGGGGTACAGGTAGACGTCAGCAAAATGCAACTAATGGGTAATTTTTTTAATAATATAAATAATTCTCGTTAACTTCCGTCCGCATGTGTATCCCCTCTAGTGCGAGCTTATGATTTGTAAATCTGCGGGGCGTTTCGCGCGCACCAACTCTGCGTCACAAAAACGCATCCATTCAAACGCACAGGATCACAAACACCGAGAGACACCCGGAAGGTTGAAACCGCGCGATCAGCAGCTCACTATGAACCGCTTCAAGACGTCCAAATACAAGAACACCACTCCTAAAATCCCCAAGAAAGATGTGAGTAGAGCCCGAGTGCTCGTGCGGTCATTGTGTGTGTTATAACGCGTGTGTTTGGAGCGTTTAGGAGCGGTGCAGATGCGCGCATGAAGATGTCTAACTTCCTCCATCCTCAACTAAACACACTGAAGCTATGTGTACTGTAGTGTGCACTGCCACAATAATGCATAATAACGTGTGTTAGGCTATATGAGGGATGCTGCTGCTGTCATTTGCTGCTGAGTGTGTTATGCTATATTGAATGAACTTGAATGACTGTTTCACTAGTAATTGAAGAGGTTTGGTGTTTCTCGTTTTTGATTGGTTCAGAATGTTCTGCAAAATGCTATAAATGGTTTGATGCGAGCATATTATAGTTGATTAAGTTAAATGTGATGGGTTGTGTGTGGAAAAGTGTTTGGTGAATGCATTAACTGGACTGAAGGCCACCAGAATGAATCATTTTTAGTACATTTAAGTAGCATGTAATAAATGTTGATAAATATAATATTATAATATATTTTTATATTATAATATATTTAAATTATGTTTTTGTATATATTACTGAAAATGTATTTTTATATATTATTATAATACATATTTTTATGTATAATATATTTTTAATATAATATTTATAATATTAAAACTGCAAATCTAATACTGCTATTTGTTTAGAAATATTTAAATGATGTACTAACTAATAAAAAATATAAATGTTAATTCTATAAATAATAATAATAAATAATAGAATAAATAATAAAAAGAATAAGAATAATTAGAATCAATTAGAAATTTAGCAATACACATAAAACAAATGAAACAAAAATTGTAAAAAATTATAATAATTTTTTAAAGTTTATTTTATAATTCGTTATAATTTTTCTTTTTTACGTTTTATGGTTAAATTTCTAATTGATGCCTAATAATACATGTTAGGTTTCATACCTTTTCATTGTGTACAGTTATTATTTTTTAAGATTTTTAATTTTAGTGATTTATTTTAGTAGTTTATTTTCTTTCTTTATTTAATAATAACAAAAAAGTTTTAAATATTTATTTAGAAATAATTAAAGATTTAAATTATGTAATGAAAACTAAATCAATTTAAATGTTAATTATATAAATATATTTAATAATAATAATAATAATAGAATTTTCTAAATGTATATTTTATTCGATTAATTTATGCCTAAATTTGTACTTGATGGCTAATAACATTTTAGGTTGCAAATTCAAACCCTTTTTTTGTTTGCACTATAATCAAATGTTTTAATTTTAAGATTATAGTAATTTTTTTTTGTAGTTTATTTAAAATAAAATAACCTATTTGCAATAAAATAACTTTTTAGTTTATTTTATCATTATATTTTTCTATTTATTTTGAAATAAAGAATTTAATTATGTAATTGGCGACACTGGCTCAGTGGTTAGCTTTGTTGCCTCACAGCAGAAAGGTCATTGGTTCGATTCCATGTTGGACCAATAAGCATTTCTGTGTGGACTCTGTGGAGTTTGCATGTTCTCTCTGCGTTCGCGTGGGTTTCCTCCGGGTGTTCCGGTTTCCCCCACAGTCAAAAGACATGCGCTATAGGTGAATTGAATAAACTAAATTATCCGTAGTGAATGAGTGTGAATCAGTGAGTTGCAGCTGGAGGGGCATCCGCTGTGTAAAACATATGCTACGTAAGTTGGCGGTTCATATGCTACGTAAGTTGGCGGTTCATTCCGCTGTGGCAACCCCTGATGAATAAAGGGATTAAGCCGAAGGAAAATAAATAAATGAGAGAAGTAATTCATAATTAAACAATTTAAATATTAATTGCATAAATAATAATAATAATAATAATAATAATAATAATGATTATATTTATTTATTTTTTTATTTATGGCTAAATTCTAATTGATGCCTAATAACATTTTAGGTTTCAAAAGTTTTTATAAATACAGTAATCAAATGCTTTAATTTGTAATTTTTTTTTGCTTTTATTTAATAATTACGAAAAATGTTTAAAATAAAAATTTTAAATAAAATAATTGTACTTTTTGTATAATTACAATATTTGCTATTTATATAGTAATAATTAAAGAAGAAAATGATGTAATGTATAATGAAACAATTTAAATATTAATTATGTTGATAAATCATATATATTTTTTTTAAATTTGTCTTTTTTTATTTATGGCTAAATTTCTAATTGATGCCTAATAACATCTTAGTTTCAAAACGGTTTTATTAATACAGTAATCAAATGTTTTAATTAAAATTTTAGTAATTTATTTGCTTTCTTTTATTTAATAATAACCAAAAAAAGGGGAAAATAAACCATTAAAATAAAAAAATTATGTTAGGTTGTCTTTTAATAATTACAGCTATTTAAATTTAAAACAAAAGAATCAGATTATTTAAAAAAAGAAACGTAATAACAACAATATAAATATCACATTTTTCAATATATGAACAAATATATAAACGTTTCAAAAATATTTCATTGTATTTTAATCATTTTATTTACGCAATAAAACAAAGATTTCTAAATGTTTTTTACTTGGTGAAATGTTCAGAATATTGAACTTTTGGTTAATAATATTCATTCACTCATTCATTAATTTTTCTTTGGCTTAGTTCCTTTATTAATAAGGGGTCACCACAGAGGAATGAACCGCTGACTTATCCAGCACATGTTTTACACAGCAGATGCCCCTCTAGCTGCAATCCACTACTGAAAAACATCCATACACACTTATTCACACACATGCACTACGATCAATTTAGTTCATTCAATTCCCCTATAGCATGTGTATGGACTGTCAGGGAATCTGGAACTGCTATACCGTTCCTACGGTATGAGTAAAAAAAATTATTAACTTTTTTTTATTTTTTATTTTAGGACAGCAGTATCTCCAGCAGAAAAAGATGCTGTTTAATTTTGTAAAAAAAAAATCTGTGATTTTGAAACGAATGCAGACAGCAGAAGTCAATAATTCATTTCAATTATTTAGCCTGACTGTTGCAAAATATTTTTAATGTTTCCCAAATTAAAATATATTGTGTACAAAGAGAAAAAAGGTTTTGTTTTTTAGCCAGACTTTAAAAAAAAAAAAAAAGAATATATTTTAGAGCAGTAATCTAATAACCGTGATGTTTATATCAAGGTCATCATACTGTCAGAATCTTATACCAGCCTATGCCTACTGCTGAACTCATTTTAACATTTTATTTTATTACTTAAAATAACACAGAAATCGAAAAATTACACTTCAGTCTCCTCCCGAAGCTCTGACGGTCTGCTTCGAGAAGCTGTCAGTCACAACTGTCAATCACGATTGCACACCCCGTTTTTATAGCCTTAAATTACTGGCTAAAAACATGATTGCAAAAATAAAGAAGTGCACCATATCAGCATGATAACCAGTGCCTGAATTGACCAAAACCATCTTTCGGGACATTTTATTGCAAGTGTACTATCTTTTTTTTTATTTTTTATTTGGGCTCAAGTCTCGTTCATTAACATGGAGGTGGCGGGCTTTATGACTTGTACTGCAGCCAGCCCCCATGGGGCGATCTAACCGCCAGGAGCATCACTCAAAACCAGGGGTGTGATACATTTGGTCCACACACAGCTTCGAGATTGATGGATACATGAGCCACCACCAGGCGTCAACATAGTTGGGTTTTGGCTGTGTTAGTTTGCTGTTGGCTTGGTGTATCCCGGCCTTTAAACAAAGTCAACAACTGCTCTTTGGAAATCTGTGCTTCAGCCTGCATTTTTATATTGTGTATGATCATGAGCTTGGACGACTGAATCCATACATCTCTGAAATGACTCAAAAAAACTTAGTCATCTGGAATGGCAAACAAAGTGTTCCTGCAAGACTCCCAGAGTTCATCAAGATTTTTTGGATTCATCTTCAATGTCTCCTCCTTCATCTTACCCCAGACATGCTCAATAATGTTCATGTCTGGTGACTGGGCTGGCCAATCCTGGAGCAACTTGACCTTCTCTGCTTTCAGGGACTTTCAAGGAGTGCTATCATGCTGAAGAATTAAAAACATGTATTTCATGCAAAAATGTAGGCCGAGGCATGCATTTATCAGTATGAGTGCATCTCAAAGCTCACAACAGGTCTGTTTTTAAAGGCTTAAGTTGTTTTTTCTTTTTTTTCCCTGAAATTTGGCTTTTGCACTCTGTCAGTATTTTTTTATTTTTTATTTTAGGACAGCAGTATCTCCAGCAGAAAAAGATGCTGTTTAATTTTGTAAAAAGAAAATCTGTGTTTTTGAAACGAATGCAGACAGCAGAAGTCAACTAGATTCTTAAAGTTTGAGAACAAACTTTGAGGCTGGCTTGTGAAAGCCTGACGGTAATAGTTTATTTAGTTTAAACAGTTTTAAAAAGTATGAAAAGATAGATAGATAGATAGATAGATAGATAGATAGATAGATAGATAGATAGATAGATAGATAGATAGATAGATAGAAAGATAGAAAGATAGATTAGCATGTTATTAGCATGATTCTAGCGTGAAATAGCATGTTGTTAGCATGATTCTAGCATGAATTAGCATGTTACTAGCATGATTTTAGCATGAATTAGCATGTTGTTAGCATGATTTTAGCATGAATTAGCATGTTATTAGCATGATTCTAGCATGAATTAGCATGTTGTTAGCATGATTCTAGCATGAATAAGCATGTTGTTAGCACGATTCTAGCATAAATTAGCATGTTCCTAGCATGATTCTAGCATGAATTAGCATGTTCTTAGCATGATTCTAGCATGAATTAGCATGTTACTAGCATGATTCTAGCATGAATTAGCATGTTGTTAGCATGCTTCTAGCATGAATTAGCATGTTACTAGCATGATTCTAGCATGATGTAGCAAGTTGTTAGCATGATTCTAGCATGAATTAGCATGTTGTTAGCATGCTTCTAGCATGAATTAGCATGTTACTAGCATGATTCTAGCATGAATTAGCATGTTGTTAGCATGATTCTAACAAGAATTAGCATGTTACTA